TGCTCCAGAAGAGCCTTACGCCAAACTCTGCTGGGGAAACAATCCACCGTGCACCGAGGAGACCCTCCCCGAGAGAACGCTACGCTGATTTCCCCGTGCATGCAACTTGCTCCTGTGTGAGACAGAAAACATAGTAAACATTGCAGTAGAAGGTTATATATACACTTGAACTCTTTTGTGCTTTTTGTGTTGGTTGTGTGTGTAGTGTGCTGTATGTGTTGTTGGTATATGGTAGTGAGTGATTTGTGGGTTTTTTGTGATTTTTTGTGATTTGTGAGCAATTATGTATCTTGATGTGCTTAGTACCATTCTCTGTTGTGGTACACTGTGTGTGCTGTGTTCTTGAGTGTTTTGCGATGTATTGCCTATGGCCTGCGGGACTTGCTTGTCTTCTTCATTGTGTGTATTTTGCATGTAATCTGTGTGGTATATGTTCCTTAGTGCTTCCTGAGTGCACAGTTCTGTGCATTTTTCACTGTGTGGTGTGTTATGTGAGATGTTGGTATTTGTGAGTGGTGTGTGTTGAGTGGTTCTTCGTGCATTGTACATTTCGCCTTTTTTGATGAGTTCTCTGTTGGCGGTTGCATATGTTGTGCGTTTGGTGTGTGGCTTCCCGTCTAATGTTTAGTGTGAAATGTGTGTCTGGTCTTTCTGTTGTCTGCTGTGTTGTGTACTGTGTTCTGGGTTGTGCGAGTGCTGTCTTTCGGCTTTCCGTGTGTTGCATACTGGGTCGATGTTGGGTGGGCTGTGTAATTTGAGCACTGTGTGCAAAGTTGAGTTTGCCTTGTGTCGGACGTGTTGTGTGCATGTGCATGTTGTGCGTGTGTTTGTGCGTTTTCGTTCGTGCTGTCTGCGTGTGGGTCTGCGTGTGCGCAGTATTGTATGCTTGTGGTTGTGCGTGTTGTGTGTAGTGCGTTCTATGTGTGTTGCATGTGTTTTCGTCAGTTGTGGGTGGATTTGTATGTGTTGAGTCGGTTTTGTGTGTGTGACTTTGATTTGCCTGTTGTGCTAGAGATGCTGTGTGTGTGTTTGGCTGCTTGAGTTATGCACATGATGTGAGATGTGTTGACTGCGTGTGGTTGTGCCTGTTTTGTACGTGTCTTGTGTACAGCATGTGGTCTGTGCTGTTTTTCGTGTGTATTGTGAGCAGCAGTTATGTGCCTTTCAAGGGTGTGGTGTGTTTATTGTGTCTGTTGTGTTGCATGTTACTGTATTATGTGTGTGTACTGCATTGTGCTCCTGTATGAGGATGTACGTGCAGTGTGTCTGTGTGTGATTGTGTGTGTAGTGTGTGAAATGTGTGCTACTTGTCTTCTTTGTGGGTCACATGTGCTTTGCCTATGGATTTGGGAGTGTTGTGTGTGTTGTGAGTCGTGATGCTTACTTTCTGTGTGTGATGCTTGTGTGTGTCGTGTGATGTGTTGTTCTGTGATTTGTGTTTGTATTGTGTGTGTTCGACTCTGTGTGTTCTGTGGTCTGTGTGTTTTGCAAGTTGAGTGAGATAGTGTGTGTTATGAATGATACCTTTGTCCATGTATTGTTTTTTTGGCATTGTGCATTGTGTGAGGCTCTGTGTGCTGTCTGTTTTACATGTGTTTGGAGTGATGTGTGTAGTGTGTGAAATGTGTGTTGCTCAAAATCGGTGTTCTTTTGTGGTTTGTGTGTGTTTTGAGTGTGGGTTTTTATGTGTGTGGATGTGTTTGACAGGTTGTGTGTGTGTGGTTGGCTCTTTGTGTAATGAGTGCAATTTGCGGTGTGTGTACTGGGTACGGTCAAGCTTGCTCAGTGTGCCTCACTGCGGGTGTTGTGTTCACTCTGAGAACTGTGGTTCATGTGCATGGTGGGCAGTTATGTTCTCGGTGTGATGTGCTGTGTGTTGAGGGACTTCTGCATTCAAGTGCACAGAAGACAGCCTCTCATGCCTGTCCATTTTCTCCACAGGTTGTAATCCTCCAGGAGGGCCTTGTTCCCTGAGGGCGCAAAGAATCACCTCATCCCTTTAATAGCAAGGCCCTGAAGATGCCTTTGTAGTAAAGTGTCAGAAACTGCTGCAGGAAAGCCTCATGCGAAACTGCGGTGGAAACAATCCACCGTGCACTGAGGAGACCCTCCGTGAGAGCATACTCGGCTGCTTTCGCCTTGCATGCAATTTGCTCATATGTGGTAAGGAAAACAGTAAACATTGCAGCAGAAGGCGGTCTTCTCTGTATGCCCTCTATCTCAAAGGCATAAGTGGGCTGCAAATAGGCCTTTGTACTGGCCAAACAGGAAGTTGCAGAACAAGATGCTTTGAAATAACAGCAGGGGAGGCAAGTCAGCATGGATTCAGCTTATGTGAGTGAAAGAAACCAGTGCAGGATGGCCCAATCAAGGAATCATTGAAGCCGTTGCAGTGGAGGCTGAAGTTGAGCTTGCAATGTGCTTCCCAAGTCTGTCGTGTGTGCCTGCACTCTAAGCGCCTGAGTGAAGTCTGTTGTGTAGAGCTCTCTTTCACTGAGCGGCGGGCGCTCGTTTTGGTGACCTAATTTAACGTGACTCCTTGCTGAGGAAGCCTGTCTGAAAAATGCCTGCATACAACGAATTCAGCTTGCACTGTGCTTTCCGTGTCTGTCCTGTGTGCCTGCACTCTAAGGGCCTGTGTGAAGTCCGCTGTGTAGAGCTCTCTATTGCTGTGCGGCACGCACTCACTTGGGTGGCCATTAACGTGAGGCTTTGCTGAGGCTGAGCCGGTCTGTCACAAAAAATGCCTGCATACAGCGAATTCACCTTACAATGTGCTTTCTGTGTCCTGTGTGCCTGCACTCTAAGGGCCTGTGTGAAGTCCGCTGTGTAGAGCTCTCTATTGCTGTGCGGCACGCACTCACTTGGGTGGCCATTAACGTGAGGCCTTGCTGAGGCTGAGACTGTCAGAAAAAANTGAACCATGTGCAGCACAGCTCTCTCTCTTTGGTGATCTGCAGGGAGAAACCATCGCTTGCTGCGATTCAATAGCTAAATGCTTAAGGGCAGTCCTAAGACTTCTGCATTCAAGCACACTGAAGAAGGCCTTTCGTGCTTGGCTGTTTTCTCCACAGGTTTGGAATCATCCCGGAGGTCCTGGTTTCCAGGGGCTGCTAGAAGAGGACGCACAGAACCGGAGTGTCCTGGTGAGTTAAAGCAATGCCGTGAAGATGCCTTTGTAGTAAAGTGTCAGAAACTGCCGCAGAAGAGCCTCACGCCAAACTCTGCTGGGGAAACAATCCACTGTGCACCGAGGAGACCCTCCTCGAGAGAACGCTATGCTGATTTCCCCTTGCATGCAACTTGCTCCTGTGTGGTACAGAAAACCCTGTAAACATTGCAGTAGAAGGTTATATATACACTTGAACTCTTTTGTGCTTTTTGTGTTGGTTGTGTGTGTAGTGTGCTGTATGTGTGGTTGGTATATGGGAGTGAGTGATTTGTGGGTTATTTTGTGATTTCTGAGCAGTTATGTGCCTTGATGTGCTTAGTACCATTCTCTGTTGTGGCACGCTGTGTGCGCTGTGTTCTTGAGTGTTTTAAGATATATTGCCTATGGCCTGCGGGACTTGCTTGTCTTCTGCGTTGTGTGTATTTTGAATGTAATCTGTGTGGTATATGTTCCTTAATGCTTGATGAGTGCACATTTCTGTGCATTTTCACTCTGTGTTGTGTTATGTGAGATGTTGGTATTTGTGAGTGGTGTGTGTTGAGTGGTTCTTCGTGCATTGTACATTTCGCCTTTTTGATGAGTTCTCTGTTGGCGGTTGCATATGTTGTGCGTTTGGTGTGTGGCTTCCCGTCTAATGTTTAGTGTGAAATGTGTGTCTGGTCTTTCTGTTGTCTGCTGTGTTGTGTACTGTGTTCTGGGTTGTGCGAGTGCTGTCTTTAGGCTTTCTTTGTGTTAGATACTGGGTAGATGCCTGGTGGGCTGTGTAATTTGAGCATCGTGTGTAATGTTCAGTTAGCCTTGTGTTGGACATGCTGTGTGCATGTGTATGTTGTGCGTTTGTGCGTTTTCGTTCGTGCTGTCTGCGTGTGGGTCTGTGTGTGCGCTGTATTGTATGCTTGTGGTTGTGCGTGTTGTGTGTAGTGCGTTCTATGTGTGTTGCATGTGTTTTCGTCAGTTGCGTGTGTGCACTTGTAGGTGCTGTGTCAGTTTTGTGTGTGTGAGATTGTGATTTGTGTGCTGTTGTGTTAGAGAGGCTGTGTGTGTGTGTTTGGCTGTTTGAGTTATGCACATGATGTGAGATGTGTTGACTGTGTGTGGTTGTGCTTGTTTTGTACGTCTCTTGTGCGCAGTCTGCGGTCTGTGCAGTGTTTATCGCGCGTATTGTGAGCAGTAGCTATGTGCCTGCCTTTCAAGGGTGTGGTGTGTTTATGGTGTCTGTTGTGTGGCGTGTTTCTGTGTTGTGTGTGTGTGCACTGCGTTGTGCTCCTGTGTGAGGATGTATGTGTGGTGTGTCTGTGCGTGATTGTGTGTGTAGTGCGTAGTGTGTGAAATGGGTGCTACTTGTCTTCTTGGTTGGTTATATGTGTTTTGCCCATGGATTTGGGAGTGTCGTGTGTGTTAGGAGTTGTGGTACTTTCTGTGTGTGTCGTGTGCTGTGTTGTTCTGTGATTTGTGTTTGTGCTGTGTGTGTCCTACTCTGTGTGTTCTGTGGTCTGTGTGTTTTGCAAGTTGAGTGAGATATTGCGTGTTATGACCGATATCTTGTGTATATGTTGCGTGTTTGGCATTGTGCATTCTGCGAGGCTCTGTGTGCTGTATGTTTTATGTGTGTTTGGAGTGATGTGTGCACTGTGTGAAATGTGTGTTGCATAAATTCGGTGTTCTTTCTGTGGTGGTTTGTGTGTGTTTTGCATGGGGGTTGCTATGTGTGTGGTTGTGTTTGACAGGTTGTGTGCGTGGTTGGCTCCTTGAGCAATGAGTGTACTTTGTGATGCGTGTACTGTGTATGGTCAAGCTTGGTCAGTGGGCCTCACTGTGGGTGTTGTGTTCACTCTGAGAACCGTGGTTCATGTGTATAGCGTGCAGTTATGTTCTCGGTGTGATGTGCTGTGCGTTGAGGGACTTCTGCATTCAAGTGCACAGAAGGTAGCCTCTCATGCTTGTCCGTTTTCGCCACAGGTTTGTAATCCTCCAGGAGGGCGTTGTTTCCTGAGGGTGCAAAGAGCCACGTCATCCCTTTAATAGCAAGGCCCTGACGATGCCTTTGTAGTAATCTGTCAGAAACTGCTGCGGGAGAGCCTTGTGCCAAACTCTGCTGGGGAAACAATCCACCGTGCACTGAGGAGACCCTCCCTGAGAGAATACTAGGCTGCTTTCGCCTTGCATGCAACTTGCTCCTACGTGATAAGGAAAACAGTAAACATTGCAGTAGAAGGCGGTCTTCTCTGTACGCCCTCTGTCTCAGAGACCGAAGTGAGCCGCGAATAGGCCTTCGCACTAGCCACACAGGAAGCTGCAGAACAAGATGCTTTGAAATGACAGCAGTGGAGGCAAGCCAGCTATGGATTCAGCTTATGTGAGTGAAAGAAACCAGTGCGGGATGGCCCATCCAAGGAATCATTGAAGCCGTGGCGGTGGAAGTTGAAACTGAGCTTGCAATGTGCTTTCCGTGTCTGTCGTGTGCGCGTGCACTCTAAGCGCCTGAGTGACGTCTGCTGCGCAGAGCTCTGTGTGTGCCGAGCGGCGTGCGCTCGCTTGGGTGGCCATTCGCGTGAGGCCTTGCTGAGGCAGCCTGGCTGTCAGAAAGTTGCCCGCATACAACGAATTCCGCTTGCAA